CATTTGCAATGCATGAAAGAGTCGTAAACCCACATATGCTAGTCATCATTACACATCGCTCAGGGAATTAACCGACAATGGACGAAACGAGCCAAATTTAGAGAAAAGTAAACGTTGCTTAACGCGTTGCGCTCGCGCTTATTTCCAAAATATTGTTTGTTGATTACACGATAGAAGAGCATCAGCAGCAGCAGCAACAGAGACACATCATCACGAAATATACACTCTTTCATTTCGCTTTGGTTCGCCTGGGGTTTTTTGGTCGATCGTCCTGAGAATTTAATTCGGTGCTTTATGCAGCCCATACGATTGTTTGTTTAGGATTTTCTCATCTCACATCACACACACACACAATGCTTTTTATTATGTTACTCGCTTTTTTCTCTCGTGTGCATGTACTTCGCTCTGTCTCACTCTTACTGCATGTCTCTTGTGTGTATTTTGAAGCAATTTTATGCTCAGCAATTCTTTGTGTGGCCGGTGTATACCATATTCAATCTTGTTGTTTATTGCGCAGTTTTCGTCCTTTTTATACTCCCACTCTGTGTCACTCTCTTCACTTCTCTTTTTTTTCGGTTGTTCTTGATGCTATTTTTATCTAAATTTAGATCATTAATTAAATATCGGAATAGAATTGAATGTGCTGTTGTTCTTTTCATGTCCGTTGTCACTGCGATAAGCGGACATTATGCTCACCGCACCGCACCACGAATCGATTTCGTTTGCCTGAAATGAACAAACATTTGCTCGATCCATCTATCTCTATCTCTCGTCCGTTCGCTCGTTTACACCATTCCGAAAAAGGTATGCACAAAGCATATTCGATTTACGGCGATATAAATGTCGTTATACAACAATAGCTAATTTATCTATCGCTTGGCAGTATACTCTGTGCCAGTGTTTGTTTGTGTGTGTGTTTGTGTGAGTGTGCTAATGAAAACAATGGCCAGTGGGATGTGCGCACATTGTGAATAAAGAACCGGGTCACGTCAATTAAGCTATCCAACAGCTCGAGCAATTCTTCTCGCGAAAACAGCATTAAATAATCAATTAACAATTTATGAGTGCTTCATTTTATTTTCGCCCTCGTTCCGTACTTTTTCCACGTGTGTCCATTTGTGTTTGTATGTGTATGAGGTTGGATGTGTTTGTGCTTACTTATTCGCTCCATAAATTCACTGCTAATGAGATAATGAAACTCTGAAAACGGAACAAACAACAGCGGCAACGGCAGAAGCATGAGATGCGGGAGCAACGGAATACCAACTTCTGCAGAAAAGAGTTTCTTCGCCATATTCTCTATTCAATTCAAACCAAATAATACTAATTATGTCCTTAATTAAGGTAAATGCGCATTGATCGCTTTCATATTTTTTTTCGCGCTCTTTGCTGCTGCTACTGCTGTTGGTGCTCGGTTCTTTTTTTTTGCTTTTGTTTTCACCAAAACTCAGAAGTGGCCCAAGCCAACCGACCAAAACAAGCACAAACAAAATCATTAAAACAGATAATAATAATTATTAATGGTATTATAATAACGATGATGCTATTTTTGCTCCGTTCACTGCTCGCTACCTCGAGAATAACTGTCCATGATTGCTATTTTCGTGCTTTTGTTGTCGATATGGTCAATGCCAGTTTCATGGAAATTGAAAAAGCTTTTCGGTACCGAGAATCGACAATTTATTACATAGCTCCCACTGACTTATTATTATATCGACCATAACCCTAATAATTCCAACTGCACTGCCGATGAATAATTGAACGCCTTTGTGCGCACAAAGATGAAACAAATAATGAGGAAAATAAATACGGCAAAAATGATAACGGTAGATCATCATTTATAATAATAATGTGTGGATACACTTTTTTCTCTCTTTTTCTCACGTGAAAACTACTTCATCGTACCACATAATCACACTGCCGACGTGGAAAAAAGTTACGAGGTAGCAAAATGATTTGACTTTTTGAACTCGTCAGAAAAACAAAAACGTTTGAACTCGAATCAAATCGATTACTATTAAAATCACATTAAATGTCGACGTTCAAATTGAAGCAAAAATAGAACCAACCGAAAAAAGTAGAGGAAAAACCAAAAAATGGAATTCCGCCATTTCCGATTTTCACTTTTGATTGTTCATCGCATCGGAAAGGCTTATTGTTCCGCTTTTCAAATGGAAAATTGAAATGATAACATTAAAATTGCATCTCGCTAAAGAGAAGATCGACAATCTTTTATTACTGGCTGCAATGCCTTGCAACGAATGAATAAAATACTCTCGTCACTTTCAGATAACTTACTCGATATTTTACTCAAATTGTCAATACCAATTTAAAATTTTGCCATGTTGCCATTTCGAAAATTTAAATATAGTATTCAATTGGAACATTTTCCTTCATATTGTATGCTTCAAATGTCTCGCATTCATTGAGCTTTCTCTTGACACAGAAAATGAATCTTTACTTTGCTGGATTTTCTCAACTCGTGCTACGAAAGAAAAAAAATTGTGCCGATGAAAACAAATACTGACGCCGGGGTTTTTGCGGAACATTTAAAATTTACATAAAACCTCAATTCTCATTTAACTTCGATTTTTCTTTACCTCGATCAAAAAACCAACGAATCGTGTGCATGCTCTTTTCTTCCCATCTCAGCTGTCGATGAAGCAATATTCATTTTCATATTTATTTATTCATTTTTCCATCGAATAGATGTTTCTCTCTCTTGCTCTCTCCCGCGTTCTTTACTTCCCAGCTCGATATAATATGTTTTTGATTTGATCGATTTTTGAACGTGAGAGATGAAACTGGTTTGTTAACATTTGACTGATATGGGCTGACTTACTCAGCGAGTAACGTGTGCAAATATGAATTTTGTAAACACAGTCGAGAGCGAGAGAGAAGAGCAAAAAAAAAAGATTGCGATATTTTTCGCTTGCTTGGTGAAACTCAATTGTAAACACGATGCCATAACTAGGTGAATCGAATTGAAAGACACGGGTTTTATGCAAAAGGATATGGATGCCATTGAACACGAACAAGAAAAAAACGAAATGCTGAAACAAAATATAGATACAGCAGCAGCAGCAGCAGCAGCAGCAGAGAAGAAAAAAAAGTGTATTACAAATTGATTGGTGGTCGTAGAAGAAAAAAAAGACGGCGAGAAAAAATCGACCGGTGCAAAAATTCAGCGCGAATCGAAACACAGAAGAAAAAAAATTGAGATGGAAAACTTTGACGAGTACACAAAAAAGAAGTGTGTGTGTGTGTGTATAATGACGGTAAAGCAAGCAGTAAGCAGTTATGAAGAACCAAGTTAATGTATTCATATCGCCTCGCTTGAAATCTTGATATTTCAAGTTTTCGCGCCCTTCTCCCGAACCGAGACAAAACAAAAAGCGAACGCACTAAATTGAACGAAGAAAAAAATACCGATGAAGCTATGCCACATGTATCTTCATCACTTGAATTTTTGCAAACGTAAACTTATTTCCAGGACGACGGCGGAATCGACATCGTTACTCACGAACAGAAGAGAAAAAAAAGCTTACCTTTTTCCCATCATTTCAATCTACTTTATGCGATTTCAATAAGATGAAGACAAGCTGATCACAAGTGCTGTTTTTTGCTACCTCTGTTCTATATTTTCTACCTTTGTTCCAATCTATCTCGCAATAGAATTGTCTCGGTGTGTGTGTGCACAAAAGATCTATTTGCATGCACTCGGCTTTTGTCTCTTGTCTGGCCCCAAAAACTCCTGTCTATGCTCCTGCTGCTGCGTGTGTATTTGCCTATTTAAAGCGAAGAAATCTACTGGAATACAAACATACATTAAATATTCAAATTGTATTCAAATTGGGGGGATTTGGCTCTTTATCATTGTCGGTGTGTGTGTGTGTGTGTGTGTGTGCTCTTCTTCGTTGTTCTTGTGCTGCTTTCGTTAGCTGTACAATTTTGAGCTGCTTGCTCTTCGCTCGCTTCTCGTGTACACAGACACACAATCACATACACTGGTATTGTGGCAGCTAAATGTTGATACTGTTAAGCACTAAATACGTTGTTCGCGTTCGGTGCGTGCGTTAAACTGTTCCAAATGATTTTATGCCGAGCGAGCGAGCGAACGAGTGTAGTATGTATTTAAGCATTTGTTACACTGTCATTGCTGCGGTACACTGCCGATGTTGCCTGCCGTTATCGACATTTTCGTGCTCTGCACGGAAATCTACTTTGTTATCAGTTTGTTTCGGTGTGTTTCACTTGCGTTGCATGTTTGTTGTTTCGATTAAATAATAAGTCGTCACAAAAATTAGTTCAAGATCGAAAATCGCCGGTGGTTGGTAATACACGGATGGAGGGAGCGTATATTTACGTTTACCGTTGTTACGTTATGTCTACAGTGCCATCGCCTCAAACTTCTTTCTTTGCTTCTGTCTAATGATAAATCAAAGTGGGTTCCGTGAGGGAGAATACCGGGAATTTTCTCCCGCACTTTAAATTGAAGATAATAAATAAATTTTGCGTTGGGTCCATGAACACCGATGAACACCATATGACGTCTCCACTTGAGACGTTTAATAAATTTTTGATTTGCGCACTTGGGAGTTTTATCGATTCATTCAGCTACCGTAGAAACCATCACACAATATATATATCGGAATTTATGGGCTCCACTCGATTCCAGAACACCTGATTATTCTTTTGCCATCGAAACGAAAGCCAAAGCCGAAGCCATAGAAATGCTACCCACTCCATCCACTGCCAACGCAAACCTAACTGCAAAGCAAATCCTTTGAATATATATCACACACACACACACACACTCTGTCTCTCTAACGACTTTTCATCCCTCACACTCTCCGAGTCGGAACATTTTACATTTCGAATTATACACACACATACATACACTTTACCCATTTACAACTATATTAAAGATTTGCCCGTTTACAAACGTGTCAAGCTCATTACTAATCCAAACATTTTCTATTCCATTTATTTCAGATATGATGCCATAAATCCTATTATTATTCATCATTTTGCGAACAGCGCTGCTTTTCGTAGCAAACAGACAGTAGAGTGAGAGACCAGAACTGGAGTATTTTTGGCTTTGTGTATTTGAAGCGCGTACATCGAACTGAATCGGCATACGTAAACACACACACACACAGAGTGCGAGAGAAGAGACGAAAGGATTTTGGTTCGGGGACGACACATACAAAAGAGATAAAGCGAAACATTCGCATTTGATGTGAAACGGTTGCATGGAAATGACAGAGCAGTAATCGGCAGCAAAGCGTTCATAATTACTGGTTGCACTGTCAAGAGAATCTCGTAAACGGGCGGAGATCACAGAGGAAGAGCGAGAGTGAACAGACGCGGGCGAGAGAAATTAGTCGACAGTAGAATTGTGTATTGAATAACAATAATTAAATTTACGCCTCGTAATTAAAATCGCACAGATTGACTCTTGGATCTCGGATTCGTCGGACAAGAGCAGCAGCATTTACATTCAGCATTTTCAACAATTAATTATATTATCAATTTATTATTCGTTTGGATTTGTTGTGTGTCATTGAATTCGACGCTGAAAACCACATAAGCTGTCGTTGCCTTGCACAATATTCCATACGGACACAAATACACACGCACACGTGTGCAACTGACAAGTGACAACTCTGAACTTCAAGTGTAACAAAAAATTAAATATCCACTTTATATCAACTTTTTTTTGTTTTGCTCGTGAAAGTCTTCAATTACTGCATCGAAATTGGAAAAAATTCCCAATAACATATCGTTCGTTAAATTGGAAATCAATTTAATTTGATCAACGTCATCGAAAAAACATAGAGAGAACGAGAGACACAGACTATTTTGGGCTAACCATTCTCGCCTATATGTGTTTAAATTGAAATTTGTGTGCGCTCAGCGACAAGCCTCTCCACAATGATGACACGGAGATTTGTTGGAAGACGCAATCGTGCAACCACGCAATTCAAATGGTCAATGCGAAGCGTTCAATTGACGATAATTGGTTTATTGATCGCCAACACAATCGAACGAAATGAAGCCGTTGATTGGGGTAAGTGTTGAAAAATATTTCAATTAAATTATCAACTTTTTTTTTTTTTGCACATAACAAATAACAGCGAACACGAGACAGGGAAAAATATTCGTGTATTAAAAGGAAAAAATCCGGAATTGTTCGCACATTTCATGCATTTATTTTAAGCATTCACTCGCTTTGCATTGCAACGAAAATAAAATCTGTCATAATAAATAACCGCGAAGCGCTTGAGATTTTTTATTGAAGAACAACTGAGCCTGACAAAAATGGTACCTTTTTGCTCATATTTTGGTTTGCACTATGCCGGATAAAATATACTATATGCCTCGGCACACACTTGCGCATTTCATTCTTGCATTTTTTTCTCGCTCTCTCTCTCTTCGGTTGCGTTGCATTGCATTGAAATGTACAATCGTTTTTTCTGGATTATAAATTGCTTGAAATGTAATTATTTCATACTTTGTGCAATGGGATTCTTTTCTCTTTCTTCGGTTTGTTCATTTTCTATCTGTTTGTGCCCTTCGAATGAAAAGATCAAAGAATCGCATATTTTTCGAGAATGTTGCATATTTACTTATGCATAGCATCGGTTCAACAAGTAATTTTAATATGACACGACGTGTTCAGCGAACACACAAAACCGGCCAATGCAAGCAAGAAAGATATAATGACACTGAGATGCGAAAACACTGAATGAAAAATCGAAATACAAACAACAAAACAACGATGAAGCAAACAGAAAAAAAAAGCTAAACCCATAAATAATGATAAAGCAAGCGGCAAATGTACCCATCGGTACGAGAAGAGCTATTTTCGTTTTGACTTTTGTATATTATACAAACTTAAATTCGAGAGAAAAAAAAGCTGAATGAACGAGATTGCTAACAAGAGTCGAAGACAAAGAATCGAGAAAAAAAACACTGATAGCAACAAACATATGAAACGAAAATTAAAATGGATTTACGACGGCTGCCAACATCAAAATGGGAAGTGTATATATATATATATAAAAGTATAATTGAGGAAGGAGGCAAAGGAGGAGGAAAAAGACACACACACTGAATAGTGAAAATATGACGGCATTATAATTGTAATAAATGTTCATTTTCTTCTTGCACTGTGTTCGGCTTTGTTTTGAAAGATTTCTGTCGCTCATTTGCCAAAACACCCGAATTGCTCACGTTCCATTTGAAAATGAAATGCTGTTGTTGCGTGCAACGTGAAATGAGAAATGGCCATTCAGTGTTCGCTGCTGTTGCGAGTGTAGTGTTCAGCACACGCAAAAGCGCATTTCAAATGAAACGATAAAATGCAATTCGTAAAGAAAACGGAAGAGGAGTCGTTGTTGTTGTGGCTGTTTTTTTTTCTGTCTCTAGAAAGAACGCATGTAATTTAATTAGAGAGTGTGCCGGTGAACATGTGAGGACAGAGCGACAGTCATCAAACATGTAAATTATATTTAATATTGTCATGAATGTTATTTTCAATTTGGTAGCAGCCAGCAGCAGCAATAGCGCGTCGCATCCTTCACCCGGCCTGGATGCATCATTTTTAATGCATTTCCATGGTATGAAAATCAAAGACGACACTCTTCAAGCACTTCAGCATCTCTTGCAACCATGTACGTTAATTCGTAAATCTCAACGGGTATTTTGGCGGAGGGAGAAAGAACAAAGTCAAAAAGTCACTTTGTCATTTCAACCAAAATATAATTCATGCTGCAAGCGACTCACTCCAACACAAACACACACAAATCCCGCACTTTCATCGTTTTTTTTTTAAATTTCATTTCCATACGATCCATTCGCTTCCTCATTTTTATTCAGATCGTCTTGATATTCAAGAGTAGCATTTTTTTTTCTTTCGATGTGTTACATTTTTGCATTCGCACAGCGAGCGAGAGTGGTGGAGAGATAAAGAGAAATAGAGACAGACACAAAACCCATTCAGCGCACCGACTGATGTTTGCTCATTAAAATTTTGCTAAACAAGTCATTTGGAGTTAATGTAAAGGATTTTCTGATTCCATCGAGAATTCGCGCATTTTTTTTTCTCTGACTGTTCGTTTCCACTTGTTTTTCCATCCATCTCACATTTTAATTTTTGCAAATCAGCTGCACATTTTCTACGATCCGACAAGAAAAAAAAGAAAAACAAATAGAATGGGAGGAAAAAAAATGAGAGTAATACCAACAACAACAACGAAAAAAAAAAAATAGCTGAATGGTCAGTGTGAATGAAAAAACCTAATGAAATTGTTGTGTGCAAACAAGTTCTTGTTCCTTCGTTGTTGCTTCAAAAGCAACGGATAGATGAATCCCTGCTGTTTGCTAAATGAATTAAAATATTTGCCATTTAATTACGAATTTTTCTCGCAGTGTTTGTCCGCGGTGAAAAAAAACAACGTATCTCATTCAATTAATACTGTTTGATTTCACGGCTAAATCGCAACTCCATTTCACACAGTCGATGAATTATAATTTATGACTATTTTTAGCGTGTCGCTATTTTTTTCTCTCTCTCCTAGTGATGCAAATCAAATAGAACCGAATCACGTTCGAATTGGATTATTGAGATCACTTTGGCACGCCAGGTTTTCGCTTTACATTTAATTTGTGCAGAAATTTCATTGAATCGGTCTCTTTATATGATCAAACGTTTGCTCTCTCACTCTCGGTGTTTTTATTGTCGTGCTGCCGTTAAGTTGGTAGCCGAAGTGAGCCACGGTGCGGCACCAAGAAATACGGCAATAAAAGGGAAATTCATTACACAGCCGTTTAAATGTAATAAATTAAAGTGCATTTCGTGTTTCTCGCGAAATGCGCCCGCGCGCACTCTCCTTCGTTCCACATTTTACAATTTTTCACCACTTCAGCTTCGCGTTGAGCTCAAGTTCAGTTCCAGTGCACACTTTATTTTTCCTCTGTGCGTTGCACGGCGGCAAATTTTGCCATTGCCATTTTTTCTGCACTTTTTTCTACTTTTCACCGGTGCATGTACGATGTGTCCCAGTCAATGTTCATTGCAAGAGAGAGAGAGAGAGAGAGAGAGAGAGAGAGAGAGAGAGA